AAGTATGTTAAAAGCGGTTTCGAATAAATAGCTGCTAAGAGGTAGTACACTTAATTGCAGGTGCTAAGCCTTCCTCAAATYAAGAAAAAAATAAACACCATAAGAGAGAGGAAAGATCTAAAAAGATTCGAAATGGAGAGAGGACTAAGTGAACTCGTCATGCTTTGCTTGGGTAAACCGCTGGACAAAACGTACCAAGTGTCAGACTGGGAAGGAAGACCGCTTTTGCCAGAACAGTTGACGTACGCAGGTTAGCTATAATTTTCTCCGTCAACTTTGGTTATTATTTTCYTGTTTGTTTCTTATCGTCATTATGGTAAAGAATTGGGACTTAGAGTCCCGTTCGCATTCTCCGTTTTGGGGTTTATTCACATTCATTTTTTTCTAATTATCCTACTTATCTTATTTATACATGTGCCATATAGCTATTACCCAATAGAGTTGTAGAGAGRGAGTGTGTTAAGAGAATTAGGGTCGCTTAGGGTGGGGCAAGTTTGGCGTACCATTTAGCAAAACTTTCACTTACCACATGTGAATAACATTTGTTTGACGTGTTGTTCTTGCCTTTCACACGAGGGTTTTTCTCTGGGTTCTCCCGTTTTTCACCTTTCATAAAAACCACCATATGCAAAGAAKAGTTGTACGCATATTAAATTTAGAGATAGCGTGATTGTGTGCGAGTGAAAGTCATTGAAAGTGAAAGAATATTCATAAATTTCACCCCTATAAGAAGATTTATCCCAGTATGAATCGCTTGGTAGCAGTCTTACTACAAGACTTACTGGGACCGATTGTACAAATAGTGGATAGCGCTATCCGAAGGATAAATCTTAACCATCGGATAAGGATTTATTTATCGGATAGCGCTATCCACCCTTCGTACAAACGGACCCTAGTCTRCATCGGGGTAGTTGTGGAGTCATAAAATTTAATATCCAATTTATTCCAGCCTTGGATGCATACTGTTTGTTAGAAGTCTATTCAGTTCTTCATGACTGGGTGCAAGAGAGCCGGGTGCATGTCAATATGGAACCTGAGCTACACTTATCGTCTCTTGGGTCAGCGGCTGGCAAGAAAARAGCAAGGTAATTAACTTATGATTTGCAGACTGTCCAAAAACCTGTTCAGTTATCGTATTAAAACCCTTGCAGCACGTCGGAATGTAGCTCAATTTGAAGGTAATAA